AAAAAAAAAAATAGGCAAGAAAACATCTTCCTCAGAAGATACTCTGAAAGAGCATCGCTCTGACAACAACTGGAGATCTAGCTTTCAGAAAGAGAAAATAAACTTATTTTACTTCCTTCTGTTGATTTAAGGCACCCAGTTTGTGGTCATTTATTACAATCCAACTCATAATCCTAGAGAACAGAATGCAAGTGCCCCATCTCATTGAAGGCTTTCATTGACCTTTCTCAACATGACATCTCTCTCCAATGGCTGGTTTCTCCTACAAACATGCCCAAAATGAGACAAAGTTTCATGATCCTCACCTCTAAGGAGCACACCTTTGTACTTCCTTCAAGACAGATTTGTTTGTTCATTTGGAGGTAAGCCCATGGGATATTCAATACTCTTCTCCAATACCAAAATTCAAACGCATTGATTCCTCTTTCATCATCTTTAGTCACTGTCCAAGTTTCAGATGCGTGGCAAGCAATTGAAAAGGCCATGACTTGAATTACATGCACCTCAGTCTTTAAACTAGCATCATTGCTCTTTAGCACTTGAGACAAATCTGATAGAACCCTTTAAACAAGTGAGCAGTAGCTATTCAAATGATGATGTATTTGTTCTACAAAACGAAATAACTGATGTCACTGTCTAAACAGCAAATATCTATTACACCCATTCTATATATTCTATGTTCTCCATGAATCAATATGAGATAGAGCAGTAAGCCAGACACACAAAATCCTCATGAAGTAAAAAACATGACAAAATTTCGTACATGGGCAAAACAGAGGAGTCCACAGTACCAAGATCTCTTAAGGTCCTTACAGAATCAACAACAGTGAGTATGTTCAATATTCTGCTCTACCAATTTCTCAGGAACCAATTGCTTTCAATCAGTTCTAACCCACTGTGTCTCTGTATGTTTAGTGTAGAACTTCTCCACAGGGTTTTCAAGGCTAATTCTTCTGAGGCACCCATCAGTAGAACTGAACCACCAACCTTTCATTTGGCTTCCAGTACAATTAACCATTTGTACCACCAAGGGACCTTTCCTCTCCAGTTAAGGAGTCATAAATCTCTGCTGACCAACCAACTGAACCCTGACAAGTATTCCTCAGCATGAGTGATGAGAAAGAGAAGAAAAAAAGCCTGCCTGAGAATGAGCCCTCTTCCAAGATGCTCAGAAGCTTCTAAATGAAGTGATACATCATCTGTGGACTTCATTTCCCCATGAGCAGCCTGCCCACCCCCGGGAACCCCTCAGTCTTTGCTCAAAGCAGCTGTGTGCCCAGACGTCTGGACAACAAATCAGTCCTCCCTTCTGCGATGGATCTCCTGACAGACAGGGGAGGATCCCTCGGTGGGTCTTTAAAGGATCATCTGCTTGTATCAGGCGATGTGAAGGCCTATGAGACAGCTGCAGGTGGGAGCCATCAAGCGGCAGCCTTAGATCTTAGCCCCCAAGTCCATTTTTCCACACTTCCCCGTGGAAACATGCTGTTTCCTGACAATATGTGGAAGGTATTTGGCTGACACAGCTCTAAATATATCAGGTCTTTCTCTATTAATTATCTTTCCATTTTGAATAGAGGCTCAAAATATAAGCAAGAGCAGAATAAAGTTTCCCAAAAGAGAGAAGCTGTGTTTCCGCCACAGGAATCCAACCTCTTTCCTAAGTCAGAATAGGCCATTTTAGATGAATCTGTTTGTCAAAACTGCTTTAATATGAGAAAGTTCTGCAGGGTTTCTTTGAAAAAAAAAAAAAAAGGAAAAAAAGGGAGAGAGAAAGAAAGAAAGAAAAGGAGTGTCTCTAATCCAGGAGAAAAATTATAAACAAGTCAAATTTACAACAAAAGAAATATATAAGTTATAGTTGATCAGCTTGATAGAATTTACTACAGCCATTAAGGGTGGTAAGTATGGAGGTTATGAAACATGAGGAAGTGTATACAAAATCGTTTCCACTGGGGAAAAGTGGAATAAAAAAATTACGTATGCACTACAGAGATAATGATGCAAAAATTATGTGTAAGTCTCAAACGAAGCTAGAGAGAAATGGAAATCACTGTATCACGGGGAAGTAGACTTTTCTACAAGGTTGTTTTGCTTATAAATTGAGAGGGTTGTCAAAGCACTTACTTTATAACTTTCATTTTAAAATATTAGCCCCTGTCAGGCAGAGGGCAGCTTTCAAATCTAAAGCTCTTTTTCTAACTTTCAGGTTACTAAAAGGTGAGCATCAGGAAGTAGAGATGATCCTTAATCAATGTTTATTAAATGCATGAATGAAGGAATAAATAAAATGATAAATATCTTTTCCTGCCTCATTATCCATAATACGTGTAATAGCTCCCGTGCATTAGAAATAATAGAGGCAGCAAACAACTAAAGGCTGCCGTCAGGTAAAAAGGCTGAGCCACACACCTGTGTCCCAAGGGCTTGCAGGCTGCTTCCTAGGGTTGTATCACCCCTGCCAGGGACCATACCTGAAGCCAAGGAAAGTGTGCCCACTGCTGCCCTCCTGGCAGCCCTGCCAACTCTTTCCAAGAGGCAGAACTCCCTGGGGAACTGCATGCAGCATGAACAAACTGATGTGTACACAGCAACATGAACAGAGTGTGAAAAAGAGTATTTAAACACCCAGTCAAGGGAGGAAATCGAATCACGAAGAAACATCAGACAAATGCAACTTGAAGGACATTCCACAAAATAACTCGTTGTACTCTCTAAAATGTCAATTTCATGAAAGCTAAAGAAAATCTGAGTTACAGTTCAATATTAAACGAGATCAAAGAAACATAAAAACTAAAAGCAAGAAGGAATATTGTATTGAGTGTTGAGACTGAGAAACAGTTCCATGCAGGACAGTAGTGGGAGAACTAGTGAGGTGGAAATAAGATCTGAAGCTTATTCTAAGAGTTCTGGTGGCACAGTCCAAAGGACGTTGAGTTATTAATCAAAAGGCTATTTCTCAAACAGTTCCTCCAGCTGCTCCTCCCATTACAATCTGCAACCTTGGAAACCTTAGGAGTTGGAATTGTCTTGATGCAGTGAGTTGAGTTACTAAAGATTATAAAAATAGCATTATGTTGTTGTTGTTTTAGGTGGCATCAAGTTGACTACAATGCATAATGCGACCCTTTTTATAGATCTGAACCTTGCCTTAATCTATGCCACTCTCATGATCTCCCCTTTACTCAAGCCTGCTATGTTAATCTCTGTGGCCTAGTATCGTTGTTGTTAATTGCTGTCAAGTTGTAGGCAACTAATAGCGGCCCTATGAACAAAAATCCTGGACACCTGTATAACTTTCGTCCTTTCTCCAGGTTCATAAGGTTTCCAGAGGCAAGCTATTGCAGAAGTGGATGCCACTTCTACTTCCAAGCTTGTTTTAATCTGAGAGCTTAACCAAACACTGTCTGCCATAGTTGACCATTCTCACATTTGACTCCTCTGTGTCACAGTGTCCAGCTTCAAAGCAACCACAAGTTACCTCTGTACAGCAAGTGTACATAAAAGGGTTACATGACCTAGAAAAATGTTTCACCAAAAACAATTAAAGGCAGGCCCAGGCGGCGTGGAGTAGTCACCTACCTTTGGCTCGGGAGCATGACTTTCTGTCCAATACTATGGCCTGCTATTGTTGTTGTTGTTGTGTGCTGTTGAGTCACTTGCGACTCATAGCGATCCTATGTACAACAACCCTAAACTCTGCTCTATCCTATGCCAATCTCACTGTCTCTGATACTCCCATACCGATTACCCCAGTTACTGAATCAATCCATCTCATAGAGAGTCTTCCCCTCTGTGCTGTCCCTCCATCCTCCCAACCATGATGTCCCTCTCCAAGGCCCTGTCCCTCCTTACAACATGTCCAAAGTATGTTAGACAAAGCCTCAGGATTCTTGCCTCCAAGGAGCAGCCAGATTTAACCCTCTCCAGGATGAATCTGTTTGTTTTCCTAGCAGTCCGTGGTACCCTCAATACTCTTCTCCAGCACCACAGGCCAAAGGCATCAATTCTTCTATCCTCCCCAGTTATTGTCCAACTCTCTGATGCATAACAAGTGATTGCAAAGACCATGACCTGTATCAGATGCACCTTGGTCTCCAGAGAGAAACCATTGCTCTTCAGTACTTTGGAGAGGTCCCTAACAGCAGACTTTCCCATCACAATACATCTTTTAATTTACTGGCTACTGGTGTCA